AAGCCAAGCATGGACCTTGTGCATTATGTGCCATTGTATGTTCTCCAGATTCAAGCAATCGCTTAAATAAAATAAAATATATATAAAAAAAAAAGTGTCATATTTAAGTATAGGTACGAGTTATAGAAGGTGTTTAACGTATAAGCTCTGTAAGGCTTTTTACACTGCATTGACCATAGGTTATCTTCACCTAAAGCCACTTGAATCAGAGTAAAGCAATGGCTTGCACATTTCTAAAGAGGGTTGTCAACCCTGAGTTATGAAACTCTGTTCCAGAGCAAGGTTAGAACATGACAGGGCTTAGACTAAGCCAGGATTAGGCCATAGTTCAATTAGGACATGTAAGTACATTTTATAAACATGCCTTAAAAAAACATTAGTGGTGTGCATCTTGAGACAAAACAAAGGCACTGATATATTTTAAGATCAGTCGGTGCAAGTTTCTTTAATTTGAAACAGCTCAGACTTACATTTTAGCCTAGGACTAGGCTTAAACCTTGTCTGTGAAACCGGGGGTATGTGTAAATGTTACAATAACTGTATTAATAGAGCTGTTGTAATTATTATTTTCATTATTTTCTTTTTTTATTTGATTTTACAGAACAACAGTAAAATTACAATAATAACAGGAGTTGGTCTTCCAGTATACTAAGTTTCGTAAATGACGATATTGCCATTATTTTTGAACAAAGGCATTTGATATCCAGTATGCTTCTTCTCTGGGACACCACCCTAAAGCAGGGTAAACTTTTAAATTCATTGCATGTGAAGTCATGCCCATGATGGTTATAGCGCCACACAGTCTTAATTTCAAACTGGATGTCGTTCTATTAGTTCAAATAACTGTTTTTTACAAATGCTCTTAAACTTTTTCTAAATGATGTTCCAAGCGTTTTCCCCCCATCTTTTTTATGTTTTTTGCCCTGACTAGCAAGAGGTCACCACTTGTGCGGCCCACATGCCTTCCTTCCTGTCTCAGCCCCTCTCTCTGATCACATGTAAAATGTTCCTGCGGCAGATTGCTGGTTGGTGCCGACTGGAGCTTAGAATGATTTCATGAGGTTTTGTTTTATTGTTTTATTACGTGTGCTATGAAGTTTTTGGGCAAGTAAGTCTGGAAAGACCGATATACAAAAGAGCTTGCGGTCTCAAGCAGGGAAAGACAAAGGGACCTTTAGGAAAGATAGAGAAGACGGAGGATAATAATCCTTGAGCTATATATACATATATATATATATATATATATATATATTTCATAAACTCTGATGAAATAAGTTCACAGTACTTATAAGCATTGCTGTTTTTAACTTAGTTGGTTTAAGGTAATTGGTTTCCTCATTTTTGTCTGTAACCATTGGATTTTACAGTGATATGAAAAACTATCTCTGTACCTAGCTGTATTTTATTTCTGTCCATGAATTTCAAATGACATGTTTACATTAATAGAGGTTGTTGAAATCATAGTCTAAGAATATGCCTCTGGGAATCTTAACTCTTCTAAACTAGGTCTGGAGAATCGATTTGACTGTGGTTTACCTCTCAGGGCGCTCATGCAGGTGGACTTTAGAGATCTTCTGCATCTCAGCTTTGATCTGGCCCAACTTCTCTTTTATCAGTTGAGTGTGAGTCTTGGATCTGTGTCTCACTGATGTTGTACTGCTGGGTTTTGAACGGTGTCGCTCCTCTCTATGGTTCTCTCTGGGACTCACATCTGAGGAAACATGACCTGTTTGGCATCAATAACAAAGAGGCACATATGATGGTTTGATTCTAATTACATAATAAATGAAGTTGTATAAATGTGCACGATTGTTGATTTGGTGAACACAGGGCTGAGTATGGACCAGGCCATTGGGTCAGAGATTATCAAGGGCCTCAAAAGACTCATCCAAAGGAGGCTGGGCCTTTGTTGCATACAATGTGAGCTGGCCAATGGATCCTCGTCGATACAGTGTGAGCCTAACACTAGGATCTCTTTACATACAGCGCAAGCTGGGTTCATGGTTACTAGTCTAGTGATCCAAGTTAAGCCTTTCATACCACTTACAGTTCATAGGACATAAGTCATAGGTCATATGACATCAACCATTAACCCTACTTTCATGTGTCAGATTGGTTCATACCTTACTATTGATTAAAAAGGGGAAAAACTTATGATGTTATAAAGCCAGACAATAAATGAATACATTTTTGCATTTATACTGTACTTTTTTTCTAGGCACTTACAGCACTAAACAGTCATTTTATTTTACATTCAACTAACTTTTCTTTTTCACTGTGTTGTTCTATTGCCCACACATAACTTGGGGCAGTAGCTTATGGCAAACATTACAACTGGGGACATGTTCACCTCACTTTATTTGTTCCCCCCACATTTTGAGGAATAATAATTACATTTAAGAAGTTGATGTTGTTAATCACAGGCAGTGCAAGGGAAATAATAGGCAGAGGCTGTTTGCACTAAGTGAAAATAGCAGTATTTTCTTTGAACTAAGTAGTAGTCAGATGTTATTTGCACTTAAGTAGTGCTAGATTCTTAAATAGCTCTAGATGCTGTATAGTGACATATACTATTTGCAGCTAAGTGTATTGTAGAACATTGTATATGCACATTTATTAAATAATATATTTATTAAAATCAGAAATGGATGCTAACTTATTTGGATCTAAAGCTCATCCCTTCACCTGCTCCTAACCCTAACCGTATTAAACCTGCTGATCAGCAGAGGTGTCCTCAAAGATCCAGAAAAGGAGCCACGGTTTTGAGTGTGGTAACAATATGAGCTGCACACCTTACGGTATGTGTGCCATAATTGCAAGATTAACACAATTTCAATAATAGGTCTATTAAATCTTTGGTAGGCTCTTGATTTTCTCAATTTCGTAAAAGAAATACCTCTGAGGAGATATGCAATGGAAAACGGAGAAGAATGGGGTTAGGAAAAAGGGTGATTGGAACTTACGCCAGTCGTAATAAAAGCTAAATCCATTATCTTTATTCTCCATAGCACTGTTCCTGTTACCAGAGGGGTTTCTTTTGTAGTTGTGTTAGTCGCAATCAGATATTGGTCGGCAGAGTCAGTTAAATAACCTTTGCCAACAAAATGGGCCATTTGCACTAAGTTTAAATAGACACTCTGAAATAACTATATCCATTTGTATAGAACTAACAAAAACTTTTAGACCAAGCAGAAGCTTCTCTCAGGCAGAAGACAATAATCGCACTATAGTGCTTGTGTTTCACCGACCACATTTCAGAAAATGTTGTTGGCCAAACAGACAACGTGAATAATATTCATGAGCCCAACAGCCTGTTAAGCAAACAACGCAACATATATTGAGCCACTGACAATGGCATAGCGTGGTGTGAATAAAGAGCCATCTTTGAATATGATAAGTTTTTGTTTTCAAATCATTATAGAGGCAAGTAACCACTCCTCTAAAGTGGCTGTACCTCCAGTTTCACATTTTGCTGGCAAGGTTGTGTTGTCCTCGTTGGTTGCAGTAGATGTTGATAGATCTAATTTAAGCAACAGAAAAGGCAGGCGAGAAGGGTTATCAGTCCCATTTACAATGATAAAAGATGTTAAAACAGATAAACTGCTGAGTCTTTTAGATTTGTTTCTAAACAGAAGATACTCTGCACTGTAACTGATGACCCTCTGAGAGCAGTACCAAATATCAAAGCTGCACAGAGAGTGTGTTTAGCTAAATATAGTGGTGAAAACAAAACATACAAATGCACGAGGCCACTTTGTTTCATTTCTAAACTCTGTATGAGTTTGGGCACTTGCCTTTTAAATCTTCCATCGATGTTGCTCTGCTGTTGCTTTCACTGGAAGATGAGGAAGAGGAAGACATGCTTTCAAAGTTGTCATTTAATAAAGTCTGTATGCTAAAGAAACACTTTTTGTTTCAACACAGACAGGAGTATTCAGTCTTACTGATGTTGAAGGCAGTCATAGCAACGGTAGTCAAGGTGCAGTCAAACAGCGTTTGCTGCAGGTGGAGTTAAACGGCTCTGAGTCTGCATATCTGAGGCATACCCTCACAAAAGGGAAGCAAACCATGGTTACCATTGTTGTTGTGCATGGTTGCAGCGCATTATTCTCACAATTGTAAACAAATTAATACGGTATAATTAATTTAGTAAATGGCTTCTCAAACAGAGCACAATCAGTGACAAGGATGTGGCTAACCTCAAATCACCAGTGTTATTAGCATGTGCTGTGGACAAATAATGATTTTTTATATATTTTTTTGGTTTCATATACAACAGCTTGATTTTAAGAAAAATTACATGTAATATTACCAAGTTTGGGTCTGAGGAAAATCACATTGCTTCAGTGTGATTGTGATGATCTCAACAGAAACAGTTAAAACAAACATGAATAGATATGGCTTTATGTAATAATTTTGTGGAAATTTGCCACATAATTAAAATGTTTCAACTGATTATTTTTTTGAGAGTATAATACAAGAATTAGAAAAATGTCATTTGAAATGAGTGTGCTTTCCTTGTCTGTCACTGGGTCAGTACTGTTAAATATTACAGATATTGTTGAAGGATGGTTTCAAACTGATTTTCAGCTTAATGTTGACATATTTGATAAAATAACAATTTTGTGCATTTCACAATGTAGCAGGCCTATTTTGTTTCTCTAACACTGCTAATCGGACCGACTTAAAATGGGAGAAATTAAAATTCATTAGTGTGTCCTACAACATGCGAGACATAGGCCTGCTTTACGTTACGGCAGTAAGTCTAAAAAATGTTCCTCATATTTTCTTGTTACGACAGAAAATATGCGCAACATTAAATGAAACTTTAAATTGTTTTCATCTCCATGAGCAAATACCTTGCCGTGGTTTAGCACAGTTACCATATACATTTTCCAGAGCTATTGGCCGTTATGGGTGTCATGATCATGCGTCCCGGGGCAGGTGCTCAACAGGTACTACTGAGACTCAGAGGTGTAGAGTCTCTCAGGAGTCTCAGGAGGGAGAGGCGCTGGATGTGATCGTGCTCATTTTAAAGCCGTTCATTTCTGCACGCTGCTGTGTGCTGTCAGCCCGCAGAAGAGAAACAACACGGCTCTGATTTAACGAACTGCTAGCGGATTTAATGTTCTGTCTTGATTTTTATTCCTGTTAATTGTATAGAGGAGAGGTTTGTTTTCATGCGCCGCTACGCTCGCAGGCTGAATGCGAGTCTCCGTAAGGAAGGAGGAGCCACCGGACATCCGATAAGGAACTACGAGCTTCATTGAACAGGGTGAGAGACGCGAATGTAGACTATTAGTGCATATTACTGTGCATTGTTTTACAGTGAGTGCAAGGGATGGGGAACGAGAGAGGTGAGGCAGCAGGCATCTGTCTGCCTGTCCCCTATCTAGCCGGAGACCGAGATCAGCGGATGATGCGATCTGAGATCTCCTGACATTGTTGCTGAGCTGTGAGCAGGAAACGCCGCTGCAAAACACAGGCCTGCCAATGAATGAATCAACGAATGCAATGAGCGCGGCGCGATGCTTTGTTGTTTTGTATCGCGGTCCGTGCGATCATAACCACGAGTGCACTCTTTTGTTTGTCTCTGTTACGGACGCTTTCCGGCTGGTGAACTTGCGCGAAAAGAGTTCGCAAAAGTGTCATGAAGCACCGTGAATGGAGACATTTTGACACCGTTAGCTCTAGTGTTTCCGGTATAACGGGAATAGATCGTTGTGTCCTAGCGAGATGTTTGTCAACACCGCAAAAGAGGCGGGTTTTAATGATCGTTGTTAATTGCTTGCTGATTGAGATACACGTCCATCACACTGTAAGGGAGAAACAGGTGCTGTGTTATGTTTTTATGTGAACTACGATATGTCACCATAGTAATAATTTACTTAAAACCCGGGTGCAAATTACGGGCCTGGTCCTCTCGTTCTTTGTGCATCCCTGTTGAAAAAAACAGCATATGCTGGTTAGGTATGTTTTTACGCTGGGATGCTGGTTTAAGCTGGTCCTTTGCTGGTTTATGCTGGTCCTTTTGCTGGTTTATGCTGGTCATGTGCTGGCAAAGTACCAGCATTCCAGCGTCAAAACATACCTAACCAGCATATGCCGGTTTTTTTTTTTTTTAACAGGGATATAGCCTGTGTAAGGTATTCAACAGCCTTTTCAAACAGTAACCGCAGATTTGTCATACATACGATATGACACGACAATAATGCATCACTAGTGAACAAAACGTTTGACTGTGGTAACCATAGCAACAGTTCGATGTACATAATTTTTATTTTGATTATATGTATGTAGGCCTATGTATGTAGGTGTGTGTGTGTGTATAT